TGTGTGTGTGTATATATGTGAGTGAGAGGGGGATTGAGGGAGACAAAGAGAGAGAGAGTGCACAGTTTTAGAGGGTAGGGAGAAATGGGTGTCTTTACAACCATTATTGTTAATACGTATCCTCCTATAGGTACGAAAAGGTCATTAATAAAGACTGAGTCAGGGCGGGGGGTTGGTGAAGCTTTATTGCTCCATAGCTCCAGGCTACCAACCAAATGAAACAATGTTTTTAAATGAACTAATTGTTTTTTTGTTGTACCAAGCTTGTTTCTTAATCTCCTCTGGGTAGCTCTGAATCACAAATGTGGAAAATGACTAGCTAAAACTGTCAATGAGAATAAATATTGTTTTGTTTCTTTCTTTGTTTCTTTCTTTGTTTCTTTCTTTGTTTCTTTCTTTCCTTTTACTCTGCTTCTATATAATATACAGCATTGTAGATGTTTTCTTGTGTTTACTTTAATTTCATTTACATGTAGACAGTTGTACTCTTGTGTATGTTTAAGAAACAGAAGTAGTGTGTGTGTGTGTGTGTGTGTGTGTGTGTGTGTGTGTGTGTGTGTGTGTGTGTGTGTGTGTGTGTGTTGGTGTGCGACGCCCCACGCCTGTGTGTGTGGTGTGTGTGTGTGTGTGATGATTAATGTGAAATATCCTATAGCCAGATGGTGCTGAACAAGGCCCATCCATCAGCAATGAAAAGACCAGTGGGCAGAAAGCTGGCGGAGCACTTTGTCTAGGGCCAATGCCCCACAACGGACACACACGCACACACTCAAAACATTACACACATACTGTAGACTCTGTAAGGCCTCTACTGTGTAACCTACTGAGCCATGTTGGAGCCTTGTGTTTTGTTTTGGAATACAGGTTTTTCCTTTTTTTGGTGACTGGGTCCCACATAAGTGGTTGAGCCTGATGCAGTTTTGACATTTAGAAGTCTGCAACCTATTTTGGTCCACAGAGTTTAAGGATCAAGTAGGTGCATGTTCTACCATTTTAGTGCATGGTTTGTGTTCATACGAGTTTCCGAGAATCAAAATGAATTGTATTGGTAACCAGTATGAACCAGTTACCAGGTGTCTGCAAATTGGACTTCAATTGGAATCACAATTTAAAAACTAACCAAGGTGACACCAATTTTATGAACATACTTGCCTTTTATCAGTTCTGCCTTGTTCACATGCACATGAACACATTTATATATGGGATCATCCCTTACAGCCAGTATTTTCAACCTTTGATCACAGCTGAGTTTTAAGTTGTTACGAGAGGGCTGTTTCCCGTGTAATTGGGACATTTTAAACTAACACACTACTTTATGGTCTGAAGCCTTTTTTCCTCTCCCCTGTATGTAGGCCTCTGCTCTGCCCGTTTTGTGGTCACATTAGAAGTAATTATTCCTGCTTTTATTCATCAGTGAGATTCAGTGAGTGTCAGGGGTGATACACAGCGCTACAGGCATGCTTTCCATGTTTGTCTAGAGTGACCACAATTTATTCCCCTTTGCAAACGTGTGCATGTGTGTAGTCAGAAAAAGTGTGTGAACTCTACACTCTTTGCTGCATCGCCATGTCATCTGGTGTAAAATTTTTCCTCCTGAAGGCTTTGCCCTATTAGGTTGTTGCTGTGCAACTCCCATGATTTTCAGCAAAGTTAACGTGTGTGTGTAGGTGTGTGTGTGTTTGTGTGTGTGCGCGCGCATTCAGCTGTTTCTGGCAGAGCTAATAAAGCCCCTCTCCCCACTCACACCACACTGTCCTCGTCTCCTGAGAACACACACACAGACACATACATGCATTTTCCATGCTGTGTTCATAGGCCTGAATGACAGGGGTGACAGTTTTCCCTGCGGCAAGAGAGGAGGGACAAGCTGTCAACATGGCCCGTTGCACCTGCCCAGCCACAAAAGACACAGACAGAAAGAGATAGAAAACTGGAAGTTGGAAATAGAGAGGGAAGAAGAGGTGGGTAAATGAAAGGCTGAAAATGAAAGACTAACGAGAAAAAGACGGCGTTTGCAGAAAATAAAAGACTTAATTACACTCAATAAACTTTCCCCCTTCAGTTATTCTGAAATCCCAGTTTCCCTTATAGAAGTTGACATAATTATTTATCATTTGAAGAAAAAGAAAAAAATGTTAATTAGTCTAACAATTCTCTCTCTCTCTCCAACAGATGACTTTTTTCATATTTTCCCACACTTTGCTAAACTAAACAAGTAGTGTTCTGCTCTTTTCCCTTTTGGCAATTTTAATTACTTTTATATTGTAGAATTATTTTTTTCTTAAGCTGCTGTTGTTTTGCATTGTTTTGAGGATCTAACTTCTATCTTTGTCAGAACTTGACATTTGCGTGCCACACGTTCACACTTTTTTTTTCTTTTTCTGTTAATTAACTGACTATTCAGGGCAAAAGAAGGAGGGAGTGGA